CCACTTCCATCATCCACATCTCTTCCAAAAGCCCATTGCATCGGTGAAAATCCACCAACACGAGCAACTCTGTTGTGAGCGCCACACATCTCCGCAGCTGCTTGTCCAGGAGTTGATTCTGTTTCGCTCCTCAAATGAGCTGTCATCTTTTTCTTCAATTCTCCCACGCGGCGTTCAACATCTCCTACTGATTCATGGTGTTCAGCAGGACAAAAGGCTAACTCAATGCCGCGTTCTTTGCAGAAAGATTCCAAAAGATCACCACGAAAAGCTCCCTCCAAATCACATCGAATTCTTTCTGGAGCACCAAAGTATTGAAACCAATTTTGCTGAAGGATCTCCAGGGTCTTGGCGGTGCTGATGTTCTGATGGTCATCTTCATGATGAACTGCAAATTCACGTGTCACCGCATAGCCGCTGGCTTCATCCAGCATCAGCAGGAAATGATGAACTTGGTCTCCATAGCGGAACATGAAGGTGTCCATCTGGAGGGTGCGCCACAGGATCTCTTCCTTCTCAAGCGCAACTTTTGCTGTAGGTTTTGCCATCTGGCCTTCAAGGCATTCTTGGCAATTCAACTTCTCAGCTACTGCAAGCGTCTTTCCATCAGCTCCACGGGCTGCCAAAGTTTTCACCAGAGCTCGATTGCTAGGGTGACCACAAAGCTTGTGAAGCTTCAGGACACTTTGAGCAAGGTGTGAAAGCTCCTGCTCTGTCATGGACTTGAGGCTCTCACGGTCCACCTTGACATCAAAGTTTCCAAAGGCAGTCCCATTACGTAGGGCTCGGAAATAAGCTTGACATACTGCACGACATAGTCGGATGGTGTAGAGGGCAGACTTCTTTGTTGGGGTCTGTCCCAAAGTCGGAACATGTTGATGCCTTCCAGCACATTGTTGGGCCAGGCTGGAAAACATGCCAGGTTTTGAGCTGCGAAGACACCAAGGTTTCTTCAAAAAGCCTTCAGGAACTTGAAGTCCATAGCAGCATCCATCCAACATCACATCCTCTTGTCGCTCTATCAGTTGCAGAGCGCCCCAAAATTCCACAACCTCAGGGAAGCGCCAAGCTCGATTGTAGCGAGGTCATTCTTGAAGAACTTCTCCACCAGCAAGGATTTGAGCTTCCATCACGCGGATCCCGTTCTTGGTCAGTTTTCTGGACTTCCGGATCCGTTCTTTGCTTTTCTTCAAACCTTCTGGAGTTCTTTCATTGAGAGCTTGTATGGCCGAAGTTGGGCCACAAGGCAGGCTAACCCATAGCAGCTTTGGCTTGTGCTTGTAGACGAAATCGATGGCCAGCATAGTGCCTTCCTCGGTCATCAAGTCAAAACCATTGTGAAGACCTGCACGGGCAGCGCGACCACCACTTTTGTTCATCACCTCCGCAAGCATGCTGTCGGGTTCGCAGCAAAGCTCCATCAAATCCAGAGAGTTCTTTTTGTTGGGGTCAGACGTGAGGTTGAAGCATTCTTCCATCTCGTTTTGATGAAAAACCACCATGTTGTTGAGCATCTCGTATTCAGCAGGGCAAAGTTTGTCGAAGACGGCATCTGTCATCCAAGCATCCTCCTTGTCCAAAGCGAGGTCATAGTCAGGGATGACGTCATTCTGGAACATCTCCGTGTCCTTATAGTCAGGGGTGTTCAAGTTGAAGTCCATCGAGATGTCCTCATTCTGCATCTCGCTCTGTTGCCGCTTCGAAGCTTCTGCATCAACGTCCTTCACGGACTGGGAGTTGGGCTTGACTGACTCCCATCTTCCACTCGGCTCCATGACTTCTCGGTGCGGTCGCAGTACTCCAGGTCCTCTGCTGGTACTTCTGGTTTGCGGGAATTCCGCCCTGGAGTGACGTTCATCTCGTCGACCACCACCACCGTAGGAGTTGCAGAACTTGTTACAGTTCCCATCGAATTGGTCTCCTCCTTGTAGTCCGGCTTTCGGGTCGTCTGTTTGGCCAAAGCGGCCTTCTGAGCTCTGATCTTCTCCACCTTGTCGAGGGCTGACTTTTCTGCCGCATCCAGAGCTATGTTCTTGTCCTTCAACTTGTCGTTGTAGCCCGCATTGTTTGGCCCCACAGCTTGTATCATCGCAGCTGTGTCGGCCGGAAGGGGTGCTGCTTTCCGGCATAAGGCATGGCTGCCGTATGCGGGAGTGTAACTCAACCGGAGGAGGCAGCGTTGACACCCTTCCCACGACCCGTGGGCGTTGGACCCCGTCGGTGAACCCCGACCGGGAAGAGCCACCTGATGTTGGCCCATACAAGGGGCCCCAGCACATCGAGGATCCCTCGTATCTGGCCCGGTCGTTCTGCTGGAGTCGTAGCGACTCTCCCAGGGCAGCTTGTTCTTCGGCTTGGACTTGGCTGCACCTTTGGTTTTCTCGGGAGGAGGCACCGACGCCATTGACAGCAAGGAGAGAGGAGGTTGAGGCAAGTAAGGCAATGATGCGAAGACTCATCTCGCGATCTTGATCCTCTGTCAAAGGTTGCGAGGATGAAATTGATCCACTGCTCTCAGCCGTTTCTTGGAACTGCTGCATGTTCTGAAATTGAACTGAATCTTCTGAAACTTCTTGAAGATGTTTTTCATCAAAAACCACAAAAACATCACATCCAACTGCATGATCAACTGCTGCTTCTCTGTATGTCGTAGTGCATGTAGATGATGAAGATAATGCGCACGAATGTGGAGATGTAGGTGTTGAACATGAACTGCACTGCATCTTGAAAACCTTGTTACCTTCAATGACCTTGTCATCTTCAAAAACTGCAAACATGTCAAAAATGGCAAACGACTCAAAAACTGCAAACGACTTTTGCTCAGTCATCGGACGAGGTATTTCAGTTTGGAAAAGTATCTTCGCTCCTGCATCAAGCCAGTTGGCACAGAGGTCCAGGAGCAGGTGGCCGGTTGGCGACCTTTTCAGTGGCACTCCTGCTGCATCCAACGTGTATGCTCCTATTTTGATCTCATGTTTGCCTACAAATTGCTTGATGTTCACGAAGCTTTCTGATGCTTGTGTCATCCCATTTCCAAACCTAAAAACTTTTCCCGGCCCCTGCATGACTTCAATGTGATCGGAGTGACCCAAAATCTCAGTCCTCCGGGCATGGATGGCCTCCAAAGCAGCCAAACTCGTCACCGTCTCTGTTGCACTGGTGTCGAGCACAGCATGTCCTCGAAGGTGAGGTTCTGAAACTTCAGCCATCCATGCATCACCATAGATCGAAGTTGGCCTTGCAGAGGTCGATGAAGTGTCCTCGGAGACCATGAAGACCTTGCCAGATTTGCCCTTGCCACCCTTCTGATTGCCGCGTTGCGGGCATTCACGAAAACCATGGTACTTGTTGCCACAAATGAAGCAACCACTTGAAGCGGCCATGACATCACCAGTGGGCGCCGCCTCAAACACATTGGAGGGTGCACTTGGCAAGAAAGTCGTAGGCTTCCCCTTTCCCTTGCCGAAGGACTTGGTCTTTCCTTTGGCTTTTCCTTGAGGGTAAAAACCACGGCTCGCATTTTTCGCACGCATCAAATTGCGCGACTCAACGAAGGACCTGACTTTTCCTTCGTAGGTAGCATAGGCTTCTGCAAGTTCTTTCTGTTGTTCTGGAGTCGCTGACCACCAAGCTGCTTCATCTTGGTAGTCTTCCCATGTCCAAAAGGTTCCAGCGGCATCCTCATGGTAGTACTCCCCATCGTTGTGAAGAGCCCAAAAGGTGAAGCCGCCAGAGTCATCTTGATGCCAATAGCCTTCTTCTTGTCCCGGTTCAGACTTCGTCCAGCCTGTGTGATTCCATGTAGGGCCCCTCGAAGATGAAGCGCCGCTTGGAGTCGAGGAGGTGTTGTAGACGGCCGCAATGTCACGACCAACCCAGTGCACATTCTCGAAGTCCTCGAAGTAGTCCTCGTCCTCCATGGTCAGCAGGCCCCATTCTCCATCACGTTCAATCCAAAAATTGGCTCTGTTCTGAGCTCGAGGATGCCCTTTTCCTTTTCCTCCACGATCTTGTTCATGAAGTCGAAGTTCATCTTCTGCTCCTCTCAAACCGCGCTCCACATCGTCAGCGCGAAGAGAATTGCCCACGCTGCTCAGGATGTTCAGCCTTTGCTGCGAGGTCAAATTGCACCTCCGTAGCATCAGCCATCCTAGCAGCTCCGAAGGTAGGACTTCTGGGAGTCCACTGTCCATCTCTTCCCACATGCGCCCAGGCCAAGCGCTCTCATCACTTGAAGAGCCTGAGTCATCTGCACGCCTTTTGGAAGGCTTTCCAGGTCGAGGTGAGGTGTCTCTCCCCTTCGCATAGCCCTTTGCAAAGCCTTCTCCAAAACGTTCTTGTCCATCATCTTCTGAGGCTTCTTCCTCTTTGACTGAACCAAGTGGATCGCCAGGAGCATCGGCAGGAGGTTCAGGTTCAGGCACAGTCGCTTTTGAAGTCTTTCTAGATTCCCTGGAGTGAGCGGATCCACGTCCAGGAGAAGCATCTTCAGGAGTTGCAGACCTCGGTGAAGTCGGTTCAGGCGACACAGAAGGTGTCTTTCCACCAGTCTCAGGACTCGGTGTAGGGCTCGGTGAGGAAGGTCGAGCACGTTTCAGCGCCCTTTGCAACTTTCTGTAGCTTTCTCTCACCGTAGCGCACCATGAAGCCATAGACATCCCAACCGGACGCCTCAACTTCACTAGAAGTTCTTCAGCACGAGCTCCAGCATCTGGGACAGGAACGCGTGCTAGGCGATCTTCAAGGTACTCCACCAGGTACTTCGCTCCATCATTTTGGACCAAGCGTTGGTGGTCGATCTCTTGAGTGATCGTCCATGCACGTCCACTCAATTGGCCCACCAACTCCGGACCCAAGTGCTTCCTCTTCCTTCTCCGGGTCTTCTCAAAGGCTAACCGCACTCTGCGGACATAGTCTGGGAAGGTTGCTAGATCTCCGTCCCAGCTACATCTCAAGTCTTTCTCCTTCTCAGCCATCACCACTCAGTTATTCTTCAAGACTCAAGCAGTGATTGCAGCAGCAAGATCAAAAATCTCAGCAATCTGCAGGGCTCGCGCACTGAGGGCACACCAAAGGTTCCCAGAGCGTACTGCTCCAGCCCAAAGGCTTCTCGCAGGTAGCTCCGCTACCAGTGTCGCTGAGACACTGGCAGCACACAAAAATGTTGGGTTTGCTGATACACCAGCTGTTGCAAAACGGTTCAATGCGTAGCGGTCAATCAGCTCTTTGTTTTTCCGGCACAGCGCCTGGAAGTAGTGCGCCACCAATGGCACAGCAAAGGTTTCGGTACCTGCAGAGGCACCTCGAAAAGACTGTAGCGCAATGCTTTCTTCAAGAAAGCTTGGCCAAAGGGGTCCCTTGATGGAAAAAGCCACACACGGCCGTGCTAAATGACTGACATGTAACACCACCGGAAGTGAACTCACCATGCTGATGCTGATTCAATGACATATATATATATGGCAATGAAAAAGTTCCTATTTCGTTCGATGATGTTCCCATGAAAATGCTCATTTAAATTCGGGAGTCCGCAGCCATCTTTGACACCGAACAGCAAATGACTGTAGAATCGATTCCTGTCCCACCAACTGGTGCTGGTCGACTCTTATATGAAAGTTTTTGGGATACAGCAAGCCTCGTCATAAAAGGTAAGTTGTTCCTATTGCACTGGTGACTTCTGGTCTTTTTGTTGGCCTCATGGCATAGCCACTTATCAGGCTGATTAGAATCAAATGGCCCAGTGGAAATAGTGGATTTACCGATTTACCCATTAATAGCATGGTGGATCTTTCCAGTTCGTTTTTCGTATGTTTACCAGGCCGGGTAACGTCAATGTGATCTGTGACAACGTTGGAGCATTCCTGGTGATGTTCATCTCAGTGAAATGATAGCGAAGTGGCTTCAACACATCCTCATCGCTATCATTTCCCCTATTTTCACAACAAAAATCGATGGTTTTTCTGATTCAAGTTGGTGGGAAATCATGGCCTCAACCTTTTTTTGGTCGGTCAGTGAGGTGAATCAGATCCCCATAGATCCCCCAACGTTCTGCCGTATCAGATCCCCGTAGAATGATTCTATCCCCAGAGGCTCGGGTATATCATGTGTGTGGTTACCCTCTGGTAAACTAACATAGCTATGGAAAATCACCATTTTTAATGGGTAAATCCACCATAAATGGCCATTTTCAATAGCTATGTTAAATTACCAGAGGGTAAATCCCAATTACCACAGGTTACCACAGAAAAAAAACCTGGTGAAGTCGCACTGGACTTGCTAAATCCCCATGAAACTCATCAAATCTCATCAACCTGCTCCAGGCCACAGGCCTTTACCCACCTGCCGGATCCTTTCATGCTTTGGAAGGCTCAGTGCCTAGCGTTTGGCAGCAAAATGATGCAAAAGGTGGATTCAAGAGGCAAAAGGATGGCTGATTTGACCATAAACAAGAAATGCGGGGTAGAAAAAAAAAATCTGGAGATGGATATTGCAAGAAGTCGAGGTGTCACCAATCTATGAAAACAGCAACTGCGGTAGAGTGGGTAACCAATCATTGCTGGATCTTTCCACGCGGTTCAAACCTCTTGGATACCGAATGTTGGCTGGTTGATATCCCCAGAGTCAGAACATCTCCAGGCAAGGTTTGAGATTTTGACCATGTCGTGCCCAGATTTCTCAACAACGCCACGGCGCAAGAGTTTACGGAGCATGCCAAAACAAAAAAAAACATTTCCACTTGATGTCAAGTTGATAGTTGATGCCCAGTTTACAGTTAACATCATTGAAATTCATGTTGATTCCAATTAATTCCCATTAAACATCATTGATATAGTCCATCTCCATGTCACATGCCCGTTGCTCGAGACATGTGCCTTGGGCACTTCACAGGCTTCGCAGATCTCTTCCTCGTCTCTCTCCGGCTTGGCCTCAAAATTCATGATCCCCACTTTGGTGATAACCCCCCATCATTGATACATATACAATTATTATATATATATATAAACATACTGTAATGACAAGTGTATGGAATATACTCTGTCTATATATATATATATTATACCTGGTTGGTGGTGTACCTACCCCTCTGAAAAATATGAGTTCGTCAATGGAAAGGATTATCCCATATATGAAATGGAAAATGAAATTCATGTTTGAAACCACCAACCAGCAATAAATAATAATAAATATACATATATCATAAAATTCCATGAAAAATCCCCAAGTTTCCCCATCAAAAGTCAGAAATTCATGGAAATTCCCCAAATTCTCTTCCAAACATTCACCGGCGCCTCGCGCTCCTCGCGCTCCTCGCGCTTCTTCTGCCGTGGGGGGCAGGGCTTGCCCCCTGGGAGGTCGCCAAACAGGCCATCGTCCCAGGAGCCGCAGCGAAGCATCTCCTCGTTGCGGCGGAATGTCAGACATGTAAGAAGCACTCACCTCTGGAAGTTCTCAAGGCACAAGTTTTCAGCAACACAGCGCACCAGGTAAGAACAGGCACCGCTAAGCATATTTTGGCCGTCGTGAAGATCAAGGACAGCAGCGTAAACAAAACGCTGCACAGGTGCTACTGCAAAAGTGTAACATAGCTGCAGCGGTCTTTGAGTATCAATGTGTACTATGACTTCAAGAGAATCAGTGGGCGGAAGAACTGGAAAAAGGTCAATCCAAGAGGATTGAACACTGAAATTGGAATGGCCGAATCATTCAGCGAATCATTCAGCCGAAGATCTTGGATGTGTATAATATATATATATAATAATAATAATAATAAATAATGATAGTAAATAATAATAATAGTAAATAATAATAATAGTAAATAATAATAATACATCTGGGTAAATTATATACACCTGGGTAAATTATAATATTTCACTAATCTGAATCTTGCGACCATATTGGGATGATTCCCCTTATTAACCATGATTCTCAGGGCTCGGGAGAACAGTGAGATCGTTATAATTCACCCAGATGTATGTATATATGTATGTATGTATCAATTTATATGTATTTCTATGTAGATCTATGTAATCTGTATATCTCACTATTCTATGGCGATGAAGGTAGAAAAACCGTTAAAATATACATCATGCATATCAATTGCACTATATCTGTATGTTTTTCTGTGGACGATGGATCCCAAATCTCGCTGTGGATCCCAACGAGTCAAGTTTCATAGTCATGCACTAAAATATAATAGTGATTTGTTGTTTTCTATTTAGTGCAAGACATTATACATATATAGATATATACGTATATATAGATGTACACAAATGTAATATATATAATATAATATAATATATATAATATATAATATATTATATATTATATATTATATATTATATATTATATATTATATATTATATATTATATATATATTATATATATAATATACAATATATATATACAACATATATACAATATATATATATACAATTAAACAATATATATACAATATATATATATATATACAATATATGTATATATATATATATCATATCTCATATCTCATATCCCCCAAAAAGATCAAAAAAGTCATAACTTCCCGGAATCTTCCCAGACTTCCCTGGTACAACCAGCCCCCATTGCGCTCCTCGGTGATGCGCAAGCGGCGATGATTTCCGAGGCCATCGGCTTCCCACTTGAACTTGTCTCGTCGGGTGCCGCGGATCAGCAGATATTTGTAGTGCAGCCTGGGGGATGGGACATATCCACTAGTTTTATGGAAGTTTTATATGGTTTTATATGGGAAAATCATGGGAATTTTTGTGAGATTACCCGGCCTGGTTATTGGAGTAGCCCCAGCAACTATAGTTATAAGTAGCATAAACCATGGTTTTTGGAGTTATAAACCAACTTTTATGGGAAAATCATGGGAATATATGGGATACCCTCTGGTTATTCAACAGTTCGTCATGGAAAATCCACTATTTCTATGGGCCATGGCTTCCATGGCTATGTGAAAAATAACCAGAGGGTACATATGGAATGACAAGTGTATGGATAGTACTGTATATAATATATATATATCTAATCATGAATATATACTTATAATTCTAGAATGACAATTCGCACTTACAACTATCATTTAGAAATAGCCCTACTATTCTTCAATTATCCTGGGAAAGGAATAGCTGGGAAGATGGGACGATGAGATCATGGGAAGTAGTGAACAACCCATATTCGATATGATGCGAACACATGGGAAGTATTGAACAATTTCGGTTCAGTTTATGTTCAGTTTCTGTAATTTTGAAGGGGATAGTCATCCCCTCATATACATCTGATATACATGATCTGCAAGCTGGCAATGCAAAAAATCGGATGGCATTGGAAATCATGCTGGGCCGTTTTCGTGACCGGGTGTCATAGCTGTCATAGCTGCTATAGCTGGATGTTTGTTCTCCCAAACATGACAATAATAGGTCTTGACTGATCCCCATCTTCGAATCATCATGGGATTACTGGAAATTCTGGGATGACTACAAAGGCCATGAAGCAGCTAGAGATAGCCTCTGGTGGAAAATCAAATATAGCAAGCTGGAAATTCCCTGAACTAAATGAGGTTTTCACATGTTTCCAGCTTGGGAAAATCAAGGAACAAAATGCTGGATGTTCCAATAATCCACCATTTATAGATAATTGTACCATTACACCTTCATTTTTGATAGGGAATTTTCCAGCATGCAATGGGTGTGATTTTCTCCTAGGTCTCCACTAGCAACGTTTCTGAACCAAGCGACTCTTGACCCACAGAGACTTCCAGGGGTTCGGCGAGTTTCCAAACCTTTGGGGAACGGCAGCAATGGGGGATTGACCAACCGTAGATTGACCAACATTCACCAACATTCACCAACATGCACCAATAGCCAAATAGTCATCAATAACCATGACAATCACCATGAATAACCATTCAGCAACATTCAGCAACATTCAGCAACATTCAGCAACATTCAGCAATTGTTACCATCTGGTTATTTGTTACAGGTCGCCATGGAAAGATCCACCATGCTATTAAGAACGGCTGCCAACCCACGGCCACGGCACCGGCCAGTAGGTCTCCCCCGTCACAGGATCCTGACCTTGGCATGACCGAAAGCTGCCGCTAAAACCAAAGGGGTTGGTTATACGTCTTAGTTAAGAGGTCATCATCAACGATTATCTGATGTTATATTATGTTATATTCTGGTGATATTCTGGTTCATCATGTGTTTTTTTAGAAAATCATCGAACTAAATGGGATGCAAAACCCCTATCTAGTTCGACAATTTACCACTTAAACCCATACATTTATGGTATTTTCCAGCAAGGCATGTTCGATTGCCAGAGGGCACACAGAAAACTATTGTCATTGTCGGTAGATAAAACGTTGCATGGTTCCAAGTCTCGAACTGAAACAAGGAAAAAAAACTCTGAAGGATGATAAACCTTTTGGAGAAGTTTGCTTGGTGACCTCATCACAAATGGAGTAGGAAGTGGGCATAAGTGACTACAGTATTCATTCCGTGCTTTGGATACGGGAAAACCTTGAAATCTCCTGGTCCTCCAAAATAGCTGAGAGTCATGGATGTTCATCCGTTGGTCTGTCATCCCCTACAGAAAAATAACTGTGGCATGAGCTGCAGTTTTCACCTGGCTATAACTGGTGAACTGACGGCAGTTCAGCAGGGCTGGTGCACTCGAATTGCGGCATCAATACGTACAGTGAGCGCAACATGTAGTCTATATCATCGGAACAAGCAACAAATATCTTCGAATTCATGGGCAGCCATCTGGTTGGTGCTTTCGTTTCAATCCCGCAAAACAAACATGATCAATCAGGATCATCGTTCCGGATAGAACAGAAATTGCATCATCACCAGTTTTTGGGATTCAAACATATTCAAACCATCAAGCCCAGTGATGCCGATCAAAATTTACAACCTCAAAATTTTCAGAAAATGTTGAAACCCCCAGCTTCTCCATGATTTCCCCAGGGTGGAAATCGGTGGAAACCCCCAAAATTCCGTTGTTTCACAACGACTCAGCTGCGCTACCAAGGAACAGATCATGCTCAAAGGCTTGACGCCTCCGGATCGGTGGCTGCCAAATCAAGGAGAACGTGTTGTGGTTTGCCGTGTTGCCGTGGTGAGCCAAAGAATCAGAAAATGGGTTGGAACCCATGGTTTGAAATGGGACATATCCCACTAGTTTTATGGAGGTTTTATATGGTTTTTTTTTGGGACATATCCACTAGAAATGGAGGTTTTACCATGGGTTTTATGGGACATATCCACTAGTTTTATGGAGGTTTTACCATGGGTTTGAAATGGGACATATCCACTAGTTTTATGGAGGTTTTACCATGGGTTTTTAATGGGAAAATCATGGGAATCTATGGGGATACCCGGCCTGGTAAACATACTAAAAGCTATTAGAAATCGGTGATTTACCCATTATATAAAAATGGTGGATCTTTCCAGTTCGTTATGTAAACGTTTACCAGAGGGTACAAGTTATAACGCTATGTACACAGATGCATGGATAGCCAACCTAAAAAAAAATCAGCCCTTTGGGGATGGGTACCCTTGCTATCCCCATAAAATGGTATAAATCATTAAAGATGCAGCTTATATCACCATATCCTCATGCTATCTTCCATCTTGATGAAAATCATACATAAATTCCATATCATCAATCACTGAAACATGTACACTACTAGTATATATATTCATTTATATATCATCAATCACTGAATTACGTCCCATTCAATCCCCAATTTGCGGCACTTCACCTCGCCATCCGGGTAGTGGTGCATCCCCACAGACACCAAGGTCTTCGCCCGGTCGGGTGCTGTCGCAGTGCACGTGGAGCCGCAAAAAGCCCTGGGAAAAAAAGGGACGGAACTGTTTTGGCCAGGAAAAATGGTGGTGTTTCATGTTTTTCCCCATGTTTTTTCCTGCAAAAAAAAATGGGATTTGACCGGCCAAAAAAAACATGATTTGACCGGCAAACATATGGGGACCTTACCGCCAAGAAAATCAATGGGGATTCGAGCAGCAAGTGAACATTGATGTCAAGCGACCAGAGGGTAACATTTAATCATGGATTTCCCATAAAAATTTGGTACCTGGGCAAATATGAATGGGGACATATTAATGGAATAAATGTGGGATTTCCTTGAATCCTTCCCAGCATTTTTCATGGTTTATCGGGTGATTCCGTGAATCTCCGGAACCGATCCCGGCCTTACTTGGCTCACCAGATGCCCAGCGCCAAAGCATCTGCGTGACTGAAATCCTGGGTGCATCCTAGTGATATATGACTTACTGACTTACTATATTAACTAGAGTAGTAAGTACATATATCGATATTTAGATATGTTTCTAGATATTTACTATGAGATACTATGAGTAATCGGCAATATTCGTAGAGTTACTGGTAGATCACTTAGTTACTATTAGTTGATCGGTGGATAAGCATATCACTATCATGATCATTCTCCATAGTGACTCCATGTCTGACGCTACAGACTAGTTGGATTTACTTTGATTCACTATCTGATTTCTTTCGCAGTGTTTTGTGCTGACCGGACATAATGCTGAGTCACTTTCGATGTCTTAGTTGTCAAGTTTTTTTCAGGATCCGGCTGCTGGAACTACCTCTCCCACTGAAAAAAACATGCTGTCGTTTTTGCCAAAAGCTTTAGAGCTTTGGAAAATGTCGAGCTTTTTCGAGCCAAAAAAGCGCCCATCATGGCGTCCGGTCGCCTTTCCGGATCCAAAAAAGATCTGCCTCTGGTTGATGAATTCCATGGTTAATAATGGTTAATAATGGTTAATGATGGTTAATAAAAATATCTGGTTGGTGATTGGTTTCTACTCCTCTGAAAAATGATGGAGTGAGTTCGTCAATGGGGTTGGGATGACATCCCATTAATATGACATGGAAAATAATCCATTCATGTTCCAAACCAGCAACCAGGAAACATCTACCCTCTGGTAATTTGTTACATAGCTATTGAAAATGACCCAGTCGAAATAGTGGATTTTCCCATTAATAGCATGGTGGATCTTTCCAGTTCGTTTTTTGTTAACGTTTACCAGAGGGTACCCGAATCTACCCGAAATGATTTCGATGTTCTGAAATGATCCGTTCATGATCTGCCCGAAAAAAAAAAATCCTTGGAGGGTCCAAGGCCTCGCAGCACAGCTGCTGAATGGGAATGATACCTGGATGTCATTTAGACAGGCTCGAGCAGGTGGAAGATGTTGAGACATGGGGATGGGTCAAAACCCTGGTACCTTGTGAACCCCAAAATAGCTGGTAAATGGATGTTCATCCCACTAAAAATGGTACTTATAGGTATTGACCCATACCCATATGGCTGTATGACTCACAAATTTCATCAAATGTTCGTATGTTCTTGAACATTTTAGAGGTTGAGATCATTTGAGATCTGGGGATCAAATAATCCTGGAATACACTGGGTTTGAAACCACCAAGGCCAGCTGGTCAGTTGCGGATCTTCATCCCCCCCGATTCATATTAGGTATCATAGTTTTTGAACCATCTGCAGCTGGAACAAAAGGTACAAAAAAAAATGATGTCAGTCTATGCTGAAAATGAGGACTAGCCAGGAAATCATCAACATGAATTCAAATTGATACTGCATTATTCATCAAGATCCTTCCGACTTTGGCCCAACAAATCAAAATCCATCAAAACCTGATATCAACATATGGATGATTTAAAAAAAAAAATGATATCCATCAAAGTCATCAAAAATATGTGGTTTATCCGCCAAATGATCGATTGATATCAGGTTCTGCTATCCATGGGCAGCCGGATAAATCCGCAATGTTCGTTAGTCAAGTCCCCAACTCAAACCACTCAAACCATCCAAAAAAACAATTTCACAAATCTGATAACCCCACGCACATCAAAAACCTTAAAAATTGAGAGTTCTTCGTGATTTTCCAGGAAAAAAAGACATCCAACAAAAAACTTATCGACATTTTCTGGTTGGTGGTTTTACCCATCTTGCAAAATATGAGTTCGTCAGTTGGGAAGGATGACATTTTTCATTTCCGCATACTGCAAAGTCCTTTGCTTGGTACATGCAATGAAAAGCAGAAACAAGATCTGGGGCTACTCTGCACAAGACAACTCCTAACCATAGTAGTCGGGCTGTACAATGTTGTCATCAACAAAATCTTTCGCCACCAAATCAATAAACTCAGCAGGAAGCTGCTGATGAGAGGATGATTCAAATGTCCTCTGAACAAAATCCGCCACCGCACCAGCAATCGCTTGATTGAGTCCTGGCGGGTATATCTTCCCTCTGGCGGTTCTAAAGGTACCTGCTTCATCACGTCCTGCCAGAGCTTCGTGTGAAGATTGTAAATGAGGGCATCTTCCCATCAACCCTGCACGCAAGATTGTATGACGCAGTTTCGGAAGCCTCAAGTGAATCAGGGTGGTTGGTTTGCGAGCATTGCACCCGAACACACATTGATCGAAACTGGTGATCCCTACGGCAGCTGTCGTCTTCAACAAACGCATAGGCAGGCTGGACCACACGCTAGACGGATCTAGCTCCATGGCCCAGAGTGGAAACTGATGGTGCTCGATAAACGAGCACCCACCAATCAGAACCAGCTCAAGGAAAAATTGTATGATGAAACGCATAAGCCTCGACCCAACCATGACTTGTCTCCATGCAGGCAATGAAATGTTGGGGATACCATCTGGCCTAGTGCCGGATCGCACAGGGGGGGGTCCCCCTTCCAGCAAGCGCGCGGCGGTAAAGGTCTCACAAGGAGGACCCCCCCCCTGCGCCGCAAATTTGTCCAGATCGAATGCGCTTCAACCACCACGAGAGAGATGAAGATGAAGCCAAATCCCCACGTTCTCTCTGTAAACACATGTCAACCGAAATAAGAAATAACTGCTGACCGTGCGGAAAGATGTGATGCTCAAGAATGTCATGCAAATCTCCTCGGCGGCGGAATCCTGAGAAAAAGTGCACGAAAACTTGAGTGCGAATATGCAAAATTGCCGTTTCGCGAGCCAGTCCATAGAGCGAGAATCGACCGTCTCCTGAATTGAAGCCTGAAGCAGACTGCATTACAAACGCTGGAAGATCTTCACGAAAAAGAAAAACCTGCGGGGCAGCAGCATCTGCTTGGGCAACGGCATGACCTTGCAGGTGGCCAAAAGCAGTTCCACTGTTAGGACAGCGAGCAGACCATTTGGCATAAAATTGCACTGCATCACAAGTACCAGGTGGGGGTAGACACGGACCACTTAACTTGCGCATTGGGGCGAGAGCTTTGCTGGCACCCCAGCCTTGGGCCCTAAGGTCAAGGGTGACCGCATGATCGGCAGCATCGAGTGCAATGACCATCTCGTCTGACAACGGTGGAAAGCAGGCTTGCAACATCTGAAGACACACATGAGAATCTCGTAGGTGCTCAATGAGACGCTTACGAGTGTTATACATCTTGACGCACACATTGCAAACGTTGTCGACTGCATAGTACTTCATAAGTCTACGATAGCCATGGACCCGACCAGAATGTGTGGCAAGAGCTTTCTTGGACGCAAACCTCTTCTGACATTGGTCACACACCCAGGTTTCAGGAGAAGACGTTTGAGAAACTGGAAGGACACCTCCTGCAGCAACAAATGTCAACTGAAAGGCTTTCATCCAGACATTCTGCTCAGCCACAGCTTGACGAAAGCACAAACACCCTTTGGCAGCCTTCTTCACTTGCCCTTTCCAGCTTCCATCCAGCGCAATGTACGTCATCCAAGCGTCAAGGTCACTGGAACTGGTGGGTGCACCCGGAGTCTGGTAAAACTTCAAAAACCAATCAAAGGAAGACCGGCATGAATGCAACCAACTGTCTTGCTGATCCTTCATCTGATGTAGGAGATTCCACAATCCTTGAGGGCAGAACTGGAGCAAACGATGGAGGTATCGCAGTCGCGCCACATGAAGTTGATCAACCGGAGGCAAAATTTGGGCCAATGCAAACAAGTCCATTGTGTCAATCTTCGTAGGTTCAACCCCTCGCAGCAAAGACTTTGTCATGAGACCAAGAGGCTTGCGCAACTTCTGCTGCCAATGCGCAAGCGTCTCATCTGAAACTCCAGTCCAAGTGTGAGCATTAAAAAGCATGCGAGACATACTTAAAGACTGAAAGGCTACCGTTTTGGCACGCATGCCAACATATTTCTTCTGATAGAAGGATCGGGCCAGGCATCCAACTCTGCATGGCCTGCCCAGCTCGATGAGAAATCTCTCGTTGATGACTGCCAGCGACTTGCATCCATGACCCTAAATGTTTGTAGGAATGAGACAACCTCAGCCGAAAAGAACGGTCGTCAACCTGCCAAGTCAAACATTGGCCATCGTCATGCAGTCTCTCATGTAAGGAGCGTGCGCCCTTTCCCAGAATATCCCACATGACTTCCGTCTTGCCCTGAGAGAAGTTGACCTCAAGACCTCGTTGGGCTGCTGCATGATGGAAGCCTTCAACGACGACCTTAATCAGCGATTCAATGGCAGGCAAACTGGGAGCATGAAGGGCAATGGCGGCGTCATCCACGAAAGAAACATCAAATTGGCACAGGAAGGAGGCACCTGAGACTCAGCAAATGAGGCACAGTGATCAGGTTGGCCAATCCAAATCGCGTCGGCGTGATCATGAATGTAGGCATGAGTATCTTTGAGTACAAGCCGCATAATCAAGTTAAACAGCATGTCACCCAAAGGATCTCCAGGTCTAGTGCCCCTGGTAGTATGGCAAACACCAGGGACGCCGTCGATCGTGAAGTATGTGTGTGTGCCATGCAATCATGTATGAGCTTCTCCATGTGAGGGCTAGCACCTTGAATAGCATGGTCGGAGCTAGCTTGGTGCAGCCACGCTTCAATCACTTCCGGTGGTGTGCCCATGCGAGTCAGAGCGGTGATCAATGCGGTAGGGTCCAATTCTGTAGCCGTAGGAGCCTGCCTAAGCACAGAATAAAAAGCTGCACGAAGGTCGAAAAAACGACTGCAGATGAGACCTTGCTGCGGCGACACCAGAATTGGTGTGCTTCTAGCATGTGATGCGCAAGATCAGTGCCCATGGCTTTGCGACCACCTAATTGGAGAAGGTCCATGTGGGTGGACCATGATCGTTCACAGTGCTGCCGGAGCATTTTGTGGTACAGCTTGGAAGTAAAGTCTGATATGTAAATTGCACGGTATGCAGCCGGATCACAGGGGGAGTCCTTACCTTTGTACAACGGGGCAAGTCGCCCACCTTTCCAAGAGGTGGGCTCTTTACCATGCGCCACTGTTTTGACGGTAAGGGCTGCGAACTGTTTGGTGAAAACGCTGCCACCGGCTTTCAAAATACAAGGGGTAAGGCCGTTCGGTCCTGGCACCTTACCTCTCGCAAGCTTTGCAATTTCACTTTGAAGATTCCAATCTGTGGGAAACAGGCAGGCTTCTTGCATGTCAC